GCAAAAGATGAACTGAAATGTGAATATCTGTAAGGATATGGACAACAGAGGCCCTCTTTACCAGTAATGCATGCGCTTATGGCTAAAAAGGTATGGGACTCAAGGACAGGAATCAGTATGGTCAAACCTACACTCAAAGTTCAATTCCATTGTCTTTTAAAATTTACTTTACAGTAAAATTAACACCACTGATGACAGGTCAGCAGTCACAAGTATCTCGTAGCATTTGAAGATCCCTCAAAGTGTAGTAATAATAAGTTTTTTTTTATTGCATCTGCAGATGCCACTGTTCTTTGGGAGAGTAGAGCAGGATGTGTTCAAAGTGACTGTTTTTTACGTTAACTTCTGAATTCCTCTTGCACGTTTAGGTCCGTTCTGTAACCGAACATGGGACGGATGGTTGTGCTGGGATGACACACCTGCTGGAAGAGTCACTGCTCAGAATTGTCCAGATTATTTTCCAGACTTTGATCCAACTGGTACAGTATTATTTTTCATCATATTATCCTTCAGAGGAAGCCTTCAAAATATTCATGCCGTTAAATGAAAACATGTTTCTAAAGGCATTTTTGTGACATTGTGGAATATCAGAAAGTTTGTCTGAAATGGAAACATATGCAGTCACTGGCTTGCATAGTTTATTTCTCTCTTTTTTCAATACAGTTTTATGGAAGAAAGCAAACAGAATTAATATTCTTTCAGCCACAGAGTTTCTATTGTTCATTCAATTCTTAATGCAGATACCTGCAGCCTTTTAGAGTAAGAGAAGTAAATCAAAACATTTAAAAGGGCAAATGAAAGGAATAATCAAGGACAGAAATGCTCATAAGTAGCTATGGGGAAATATTAGATACAGTTAAAACATCACAAACCATATTATTGGTTATGGGCAATGTTTCATGCTACACTGTACTAGAACAAACACAGGCACAATGTGCCAGTTGCAATAAAAATATTGTGGGAGACATATAAATCTTAAATATTTTCAATAAGGCTAAAAAAAAAGTTATGTGCCAAATTGGAAAGTAAATAGACTGCTGCTTAGCTGTAAGCTGTATTAGTTATCCAATCCAATAATTAAAGTACTGGTTCTAGGGAGCTTTTTGTCTGTTTAGAATCAAAGTTTCAATGTTGGATCAGATCCAGCATGTAGTTAGTTGAATCCCATTTTTAGTAGCAGACAGATTTGTCAGTTGTTCTGATCTATAAAAAAATCAAGCTAGCCATGGTTGGAGAATCCACCCAGCGGGTGAGATACTTCAGTATCAGTCCCAGTTTGCAGGAATTCAAATCTTCACTTGGCTGAAGGAACCTCTCCTTTTCCATTGAAAACAGACACCGCACTGGAAAGGATCCACCGTCCTGGAAAGCGAGAGAGCAAAGCTGTGTGGGAATATGCTCATATCCTGAATGTCCTGAATAGGAATATCCTGAAACCTATAGCACGATCCATACAGTAACTAACATGATAAATAACATACTTCATGAGCATTGAATCACACATTCTTGTCTTTTGCGCCCTTCTTTAATTTCTGACATACTCCGTGTCAAACTCTTTTCTGCACATAGTTTCTAAAGGGAGATTGGAGAGTCTTGTCATGGGCTCAACCTCACATGTTAATCCCCGGTGCACCCTGACGGGAACTGCGACCCCTCCAGCTAAGAGGAGCTTTTCAGTCTTGTCTCCATCTCCGCAAACAAATGCTTTACCCATTAGGCTATTTGTACACAAGATGCTAGTAAATAGAATTTTAAAAGAACTGCACAAACTTAATTCAGTTTCAGTTCTCTAACCAAAGTGCCTACATTCAGGAGAGAGTTCAAGTCTCCAAACCATGAAGCTATAAAGGTCTTTTCCTACTTTTCCAGCAGAGATGCCTCTTGGATAGAGTCCACATCTTCCATTTCAGCTCACTTCCCCCATTTCACTCATGATGTCATCTCCATGTTTTCTCAAAACAGGCAATTTTAGGTGGCAGCAACCCAGCAACCCTTTGATGAGTAGGGCAATTTTCTAGAATCATCCACCTTCCTTGCCTCCACATCTATCATTTAAAAAAAAAAAAAAAAAAAAAAAAGGAAGTGGTGCTAAGAGTCCTGCTTTAGGTATAGCCGTTTAACCTCACAGCACAAGCAGGTACAGGACAGCTCTGAAGCCCCAGAAGTCTTTCGTAGCTTGTAGATCATCATCACATGATGAATGAGAATGATTATAGAGCAGCTCAGGACAGTTATTACTATTCTTGTCTCCAAAGCTTTGTTCTGAGCCAGTCTCTCCATTACCACAACATGCTGCAAAGTAAAACTTTAAACCATCCATAGAGAAGCACCTTAGTCCTCCTGTTACTGTTTATTAATGTTGAGGTCTGTGACTCATCCAGCTGATTGCAAATGGCTCTGTAAGTGCTGCAGAATCTGTCCCTCACTATGTAGGTCCTATTGTTATTTTTTCTGTCATTTTTTAAAGCTTACATATTTTATATATGAATATTTAATTCCTGTTATGACAGCCACAAGGGGAAAACAAAGCCTCTGGTAATTCCTGCTATTTTTGCTGCTGTCCTATTTAGGAACAACATCTGCATTTGTCATATGGACACACTGACAAGCACTGTAGTATCTGCATTTTTTGCTGACACATTTCTCTGCTCCTTTGTCAGCACTGCCTCTTTGCCTGCATCCTAGTCAGTAGACGCTGTTTCCGTGGTGCAACAGCATCTCCTGCTTCAGCCACAGTCACTTTCCTAGAGTATCTATTAAGTACCCCAGCATGTAGTAGAGCTGCTGCGTAAAAGCAGCGGGTTGTCAGCCTTTGCTTTACAGGTGCCTGCTTGTCACACAGGGACTTAATAAAGTAGGAGGGAGACAAAATCGTGTGGTGACTAGAAATCTTTCAACTGCTAATGGAAGTGGCTGCCACTTAGAGGTGACCAAAAGCGCAAGTTCAACCATCCTGCAAAAACTCTGTCAGATTTTGTATCACAAGTCGTTATTTTCTTTGGTAACTTAGGCTCGTTAGGTAAAACACGGCTAGGACAAACAGAAATTTAATCCTAAATAGCAGCAGTTTTACAAGATGTAAAGTGCAGTGCCTGTCAGATTTTCTTCTCACTAGGGCTCCGTGGTATCAAACCACTTCAGTGTATATTTTAGACATGCAAATAACTCCACTGACTTCAAATACAAGTATTGCACACTATGCTGCTTTGGGCTGCACTGTCTGCAAAACCAGGATTTATCAGAACACTGACATCTCAGCTGCTTTTGCCTGTGGCCGTGTATAACTTTGCGTCTTAGAAAAGAAATTCACTGCCAAGATTTATTTTTGCACTTTGATACTTACTTCTTAACTGGGAAAGTGGACCAAATCTGATCCTCCAAGCCATCTGCACCTGTGAAAGTCACTTAACAGACTTCCATATCCTAACCCTCAATAGCATATTCTATTGATGCCAAGAGGAAATTGTTACAGTGAAATCATATTTTGAGAAAAATGGCCCAGGAGCAAAATGAGAGCACACTCCAATGTGCTGAGTCTTCAGTCCATTTTCTGCCTGACAGCTTCACAACCAACTAAAGCTGGCATAATCCTGCTTATTTCACCAAATTTACATTAGTTTCTAAGTAATCTAATCTAAATTCTGGAATAGCAAAGGATCACTGTAATAATCTGGTCTGTTTAATGAGCTAAGAGCTTCCTGCACTTCTTTTCCCACCTGATGCAGATCTATTCCGTGAAATAAGGTTAGTATCTTAAAGCAAACATTTACAGAAATCCCCCTGTACAAGCTGGGACAACTGTTGCCTTTAGTAGTGATCTGTTTCTCACAGTGACCATTATGTGCAATGCGATAATGCATAAAAACAAATCAATGTTTTAGGAGAACATAGTGAGACCTACTGGGTTAACTCCAGTAACAGCAGGAACTCCATCATTCCATCCTAGTGAGACCTACTGGGTTAACTCCAGTGACAGCAGGAACTCCATTCCATCTATCCCTGTCTGTGAATCTCTGAGCATAGCTGGGTTTTATACTCCCAGGTTAATCTTTGTTGTAATTCCTCAAATAATTCTCAGTCATGCTGAAATTGATAGGAATTGCATTTGATAGGAATGTAGTGCATAATTCGTTCTGGTAATATTTTTCATTCTGGTAATAAAATTAAAATATATCATGGATATGATGGCCTTCCACCAAGATGGATTTACTGGGGGTATTATGAGGTACCCAGGCCCTTTGCTTTCTGGGTGGGCAATGTTGTATTACCCACCCCACTATCAGAGCTTTCCACTCATGGTCAGAATGAATTTGACTCAATCACACATAGTAACACAAAGTTAATTATGATAGTCACACCTTTTCACTTCATTTTCAGTCCCTTTCCTCCCTTGGCAAAGCACATGGTGAAGGGAGCCAGCAACAGAGCTGGCCTCCCTGGCTTGCAGCCTGCATCTAATGATCCGAACACTTTTACCAAAACACCATTGGATTCCCTACGTAGTTGGGTTTATTTATGTCTTTGATTTCACATTGCAAACTAATTGCTTGTAACTCTCCTTATGGCTCCAAGAAAGAAGTTTTGATGGTGATGATTCAAAAACAGGTCTATATATTTATCCATAAACAATTACATCAGAGGAGAATTAATATCTTGCTATTGCTCATGACTTAAAATCATAGGAGCTTAATTGGATTACTCTAACAGTGGCTGGAGGGAGAGGTCCCTTCAATCTGCAGCATGGATCATGGTGCACTCTGTACTTTGACTGGATCTGAAGAGCACCCTGGCAGCAGAGATGACAAAGGCACAGGCAGCATTTTTCTTCACTGCCACTCTCTTCTTGTGCCATTTTGCAGTCTCTGAAATTTATTGTGTTCTGTAAAAAAATTCTTCAGAGAAGGATAAATGTTCCATGCAAGAGCTGGAGAACACACTGAGTGGTTCTGTTGGATAGTTCTGGGTATAGCAGCAATGACACCTGTGGCTTGTGGCTACAAGGGACTGGTGGTCACAGAAAAGTCCTTTCTTCAGCTGGCAAATTGCGTAAAGCTGAGTAAGACACAAAATGACAGGCCCAGTCACTGAAGATGAGAAATCATGAGACCTTCTGGGTGCCAGCTCCATCCCGCAAGCCTCAGGCACCTCTTACTGCAGGCAGCATCCTGACCGCAGTCCCCTAGCTTGCAAACCCGCTCCTGTGTGGCCAGTCCATCCCACTCTCCTTCCCAGTAGCATGCCTTGGCAACAGGTCTCTGCTTGCAGCTGCGCGGGAGGGAGGAGGAAGCACCTCAGGTGCACTGCAGCCACAGGGACCTGCTGGAGTGACTTTGCCATGGAGAGCCCTTTCCTTCCTGCCACAGAATCTGCTCTGCTAAAGACCTCTGAATTTCTGCAGATGCCGTTTTGCTGTCTTGGAAGTATGTCATTTGGACAGTGATAAATAAAACAAATCTGTTTCTTCAGCTGGATTCTCTGCCCAGCTGCTTCTTTCTCCACATCACCTTCTGTGCATTTCTATCCTGCTTCTTAGCAAACTTGTTAGCTATGTTTTAAACATAATTTCTTTTCTTCACAGTGCACAACATGACTCTATTATGCAGATTACAGTTCTGCTGGCTGAAGCATTTTGATAATATCACTCTTCAGTTATAGGACCCTGGAGCTGAAGTTTTCTAGAGACTCCATTGTGTTATATCTATTTTGTTGTTGTTGTTGTTTTTGAAATAATTTCTTCTAGAATATTTTACTGAGGATATAAGTAAATCAGATGGACTGCAGAAGTATCAACAATTCCTACTCCTCATTTGCAAAAGTAAGTACTATTCAGATATATGTGCTCTTTAGGAAGCAGCATGATTTCCCCTTGGTGAACCCATGCTGACTACTCCTGAGCACCTTCTTATCCTCCACATGGTTGGAGACAACAGCCAGGATGAGCTGCTCCATGACTTTTCCAGGGATGGAGATGAGACCGGCCAGTAGTTGCCTGGCTCCTCCTTCTTGCCATTTTTGAAGACTGGTGTGACATTGGCCTTCTTCCAGTCCTCTGGCACCTCCCCCATTCTCCACGACCTTTCAAAGATGATGGAGAGCGGCTGAGCAATAACACCCACCAGCTCATGCAGCACTCTGGGGTGCATCCCATCAGGGCCCATGGATTTGTGGGTATCAGGTTTCCTTAGGTGCTCTCTGACCCAATCTTCCTCTACTCAGGGCAAGTCTTCCTCTCTGCAGGCACCTTCTCTAGTTTCTAGGGTCTGGGATTCCAAAGGGCTGCCCTTGATAGCCTGAAGCAAAAAACAACAACAACAACAACAAAACCCACTGAAGCAAAGAAGGCATTCAATAGCTCTGCTTTTTCTGTGTCTTTCGTAACCAGGGCACCCAAGCCATTCACCAGCGGACCCATGTTTTGCCTAATCTTCCTTTTACCATTGATATATTTGAAAAAGCTCTTTTTGTTATTTTTAGCACGCCTTGCCAGATTTAATTCCAATTGTGCCTTAGCTTTCCTAAATACCTTTGAGTAAATGTATAACTTAAGGTGCTTAAGTCACGAGATGAATCTCACCCAGCATCACAATTCCTGCACTCTGAATATGATACCCAAGTGATTCAAGCTGATGGGACATAGACACCTAGAAGAATAGTGTTCATGTAATATTTTAAGAATCATAGAGTGCATACTTACATTTTGCCTTGATTATATTGTCTTGTCCTTACACATTTGTGTATTTCTTCAGAACACATTACAGCTTCATCTTTCAAAAGTCAGTCTTACTGACTAAACCCATCAGATCTCAGGGTTACAGGAGACCCAGGCACCCAAGACTGACTATGTTTATAAGAGTAACATGAAAAGTTGTCTTTCATCAGATAAAGTTTAGTTACTGCCATTTATCAAATTAATTAGCATTTTAGGAAGAAAATTTTAAAAGGTTATATATTGTGCTCAGCAAGTCTGTCACAGCCCCATGTTGTGATGACATCTCAATGAGAAATCAGTGAGCTGTGGCAATACAAGCAGCTTCCAAACTAGGCACAACAATGTGTCTGGATTCACAGGAAAGTATGAAGCAACAGATTTACCTCTAATTTACTGAGGTCATGTTAAGCTAAGGCAGAAAGCCTACCTAGACATTAAAGTACAGAGATGATAGATGATACTAGCATTATGCTCTATAGCATATTACCAAAAGGCATGTGCATTGCACAGTACATAGGATGGTAGGTGAGTGTTTGCACACTGTGTTCCATGGTAGCATAACCATTAATCTTTGTCTGTAACTGAAAACTTTTTCCAGCTTTAGATAATATCTGGCAAAGAATACAAGGGGAACGCTGCTGCACAGGCAGGCAAAGATAATCTTCAAGCTGAAGAGATGGTAGCCTGAGATAACATGTACTGTTCCTCTCATCATTCATGCACGTACTGATTTTCAACATCTTTTTTTCCCCAAAAAAATGAGTTTTAAACTCACACTAATTTCAACAGCATGCTATTTTCTGTATGACTAAATGGTCTTTATATTATATATTGGTCCTGTATGCCTTTTGTTTCTAGTCAGAGGAAGTTAGCACATCTTACACCAACTGCAATGTGATCGATATTTTTCCTAATTAGAGTGTAAAGAGGAAATGGGAATCTTCCAAATTAATAGTATCATATATCATCTGACCTGTTTAAGAAAAATAAATGCACATCCTGAAAAAAAAAAAAAAAGCAATTGGCCCTGTAGAAATATTGAGACTGGAAATATTATGATATGTATAGAACTAATACGGTTATAAAGTTGAAATAGGTGGAGGGAAGCCAAGGAGGAGTCTTTTTAGTACTTTTATATAAAAATCAAACTTGAAGTGCTTTGATTTTCATAAAATAGTCTGAACCACTATCTACGAAAATATCAACTAATTAATGTTTCTGATCTTATGCACTTCCTGACTTCATGACTCAGGCAAACTTTTCACAGACTCCCATGTGGCTAAGGTTGGAGTAAAGGCCAAAGGATTGAGTCCAAATTTTGACAGGTGATTAGAAGTGACTGCCTGTGCTTCAGCTTCCAGGGTTTCCCAGACAGAAATCTGTGCCTGGTCGAGAGGACACATGTACAGCCCACATCTGCGCTTCCAGACATCCCTGAGTCCAGTCGGAGTGATATATTTCTGAGATCTTGGAGTCCCTCTACCACAATAAAAAGACATGTGCAAAGTAACATGACCCTGATGATTTATCTGTACTGCACGGCTCTGAGAAAAGATGTCAGAGCGACCTGTGGTGCAGAAGTCAGCCCTGCTGCACATGTGGAGAGGCCAAAAACACATCATTTTACTCAAACAGGGAACTCTACTCATCCATTGCTCTATTTCCTGGGCTCCGCTTTACACCACTGCTTGGTACGCTTCCCCTACACAGTATTTTTCACTATTGATTCAAAAGACTGTTTCAAACCACTACAGCTCTTTGTAGCAATATGTAGTGTTTGTGCCAGCCGTCTCACTGGGCAGCTCTGTGCAAAGAGCAGCAGAGCCCTGTGTCAGGGCTCAGTTCCCTTACAGCTCCTCTGTAGGTGGAATGTTCCCTGTAACACACAAACCCCTGATACAAGATTCAGACCATTTGTGTCTGTCAAGTAATAGCAGTGTCTTCTTGTGAGCTAAAATAAATAAATAAATAAATAAATACATACATACATACATACATAAAAAGAAGCCAAAAAAAATGTTTTATCTTCTGGGAAGTGGATGCATCCATTTTGCAATGTTCATAGTGTTGGAAGGCGTGAAAGCTGAAGATATGCTGACACCTCTGTGTTTTATGTGTACACCTAGTACATGCTCTGTATCTGAGCTTAACATTATTTTTTTTCTTCCATAAACAATTATAACACCCTCTTTAAATTAATTATTATCACAGAAATGATTGCTTCTGAATGAAGACTTGGAACTATGCTCTTCTGCATTCATTCAAGACAAAAGGAAATAGATAAAATACAATAACATTAACAGATAAATCTTTGCAAACAGAAAAATATATGTTAATTGGGCAAGCTTAAAATTTTGTTACATGGGCTTTTATTTCTGAACATATTCACTTCTTTTTAATGAATGCTTAAATGCATAATATGCATATGCTAAAATAACTATTATTACAATTTATCTTCAGAAAGGGCTTCAAAGTATTGTGATGAAACTGGAAACTGGTTCCGACATCCTGAGAGCAACCGAACATGGTCCAACTATACTCTCTGCAACTCTTTCACCTCTGAAAAACTGAAGGTATGCCACAAGTTAAAAAGACAATAATTATCTGAGAATGGTTTGGGGCTGGGCTAGCAGCAAAATACATATGAGACAGGTCAGAATAAGCCTCATCATCAGCTTTATTTATTGCACAAGAATTTAATATCATTGTCCTTGACATACCAACTTATTAAAATTATTTGATGAATTATCTGACAAGATGGATACTTTAGTAGTAATTCATATAACCAATCTGACCAGTTTTGCAGTGTTTTTCAAATGCATTTTTAATTACTTGTCATTGTCCAACAGTTAGGAAATGATCCTTTAAAATTTCATTTTTGCTTTCTGCAACATTCATCTCCCAAACTGTTGATGCCTTTTCTGCACCATTACCAATTTTAACATAATTTGAAATTATTTTTATAAACAAAGAGTAAAACACTATATTTACTCCCTTTGAAAAGAAATATTTGTGAAGATACTGTTATGGTAAAATTCCTACAAGCCTGAACACATTTAACTTTCACGGTTTGATTGAAGTCAATGAGATTACTTACAGTACTAAATTAAGCATTTGCATCAATAGTTCCAAAATCAAATTGCTCAGCTGAAAGAGGAGAACTGAGTATAAAAGCACCAAAAGAAACAAGGACAGAGAAATCTGAGAAAAGCTTTTAAAAATTAAGTTAGGGAAGCTCATGAAAATAAATGTATTTCTCAAATATGAATGGAGCTCCAGGAAAATCTGATTACAAATTCATGAGAAAATAATTTGTGACTCTGGAATTGTGTGAGGAAAAGAGTCAGAAAGTGACTTGATTGGAGGTTTGTGTTTGTGTTGGCGGATCTTTATTCACCCAGCTAAAAAACAGTCTGTGGTTATATTTAGTAATGATCCAGCTAAAAGTGCCTTGGAAAAGGATGCTGGACTAGATGGGAGGTAAATTCCAAAAGTTTTTGAGGTATGAGGAACCTTTGTGGTAAAATGGGGTTCACCTGTGTAACAAGGAGAGAATAATCATAACAATCTGAGATCACAGAGGCATTAAGTGGAAACATCATAAAAATATATTTTTTCCAGATGTTGGCCCATGTAGGGATGCAAAAAATGTAGTTCTGTTACCTATTATCCATGCCTTCCAGAAGAAGAATTTTGAACATTTTTCAAGCAAAGTGGAGATAGAACACAAAGGAAAATTAGACGTACTTTGAGATTTTTCTGAAACAAAAAATAATGGAAAAAGCAGTAAGAATCTGACTTCACAGTAATGCCAAGTTGGATTCTGACCTTTAATCCAAACCTTCAAAACCTAGGAGTATGTTTGAGTTCTAGGTTGTTTTCATGTACCTGTAGATAGTTTAATTAACTGAGTAGGAGGCATTTATTTTTGAGAATACTCTTTTCTCAAGTGAAGACTTTGAAGGAAAAAGCAACATTCTAGTGTTTTTTTTAGAAGTTTTTCAAGTCCAAGATGTTAAAAAAAAAGCTGCATATGCTATAAAAAAGGGCAAAACAGCATGCTTTAAATCCTATATGGCAGAAGGGATATGAATGACTGATGTTTTAAGGAGTGAGAGGTTGACGTAACGGTTTCTTATTTGTCTGACAAATACGTGACAAATATCAATATGCTATATCTGTGTGAGACAGATTATTTAAAGAACATATCACCGCTTTTAAAAGTGCAGTAATATATCATATCCTTTATTATCCCACAATTCAGTCCATTCTGATCTGCCTTCATTATTATTTCTGGAAATATTTTTTGCAGCTTGAATGTTTACATGGAGTAATCAAAAATGCTATTGCTGAGTGCCAGGTATTGAGTTAAAATGATTTAGTAGTTGTAACGGAAGATGGATAGTTTGAATAACTACAGTCTTCTGCAATGCACACACATATAGGCACGCATGTAATTATCCAGGAGCCTTTATAGCTGTTTCAGACAACACAAAGATTATAATTAATTGGTGTGTACATAAAATTCAGGCTTGGAAATTGTATTCAATTTAATACAGTGAAAAACTATAGCAACTATTTAGTATGCAGTGAAAGAAATGTCATGTCCACACATGTTTAAGTTCCTCTTGATTCTGCATGTTTGGAAAGTTGTCTTGTCTTCCCTGCAGTCTGGTTGACCCTCCCTGTAGTAGGTGGTGTTCCTAAAACAGCTTGCCAAGCGGTCATGCTTGTTACTGGTATTGTGGTTAGTCAATGAAGATGAAAACTTGTAGACTTAAGTTTTTCCAGGTAATATTCATGGATTTCCATAACCTCTTAAATGGTATTTATATGACCACTCTATAGGCAAGAATGGTGTAAATGTGACTTTGGTGGAAATACAAATCAGGCTACCACATCATCTACATTAACGAGAGCAGGAGCCGATTCTAAAGTTATAAAATAGTGAAAGAATAAATTAGGTAAGAAGCTTTACACCTGTGCTACGAAGAATAGGGGTTTTTTTTCTGAATTTTATTCATCCTTTTTTCCAACTGAAAATTTAAAATGAGTTGGAAACTGGAAAAAAAAAAGAAAAAAAAAAAAGATTGGTAAAGCTCAGGACTGCAAAAACCAACTAGAAGCTAGCCAGGTATTAACTGAAGATATCTGCACTGAAACAACTGCATTAAAACATGCCTTCTCCCTTCATTCTTCTCACGAGAAAGAATCAGAGGAGGAGGAATATAAAAACAGTGTTTAAATTGCTGCAATAGTACTTGCAAGCTTTTCAGGGAGGAATGTGATCCTAAAAGGATTTATGGAATCATTGAAAAGAAAAATAACCCATGCATAACACAAGAAAAATGAATGAAATGGAGCTAACAAAATCACCCCAGCAGAGGAGCTAAGACCTGCTATCTAGTAGTCTCTTCAGTACAAGCTGATAATATATTAGCGCTCTCAGAAGAGAATGGCAAAGCCTGGCAGGCCATTAGCCTCCTGCAGCCTGACAGCTGGATGATGGTTAAGGGCTTGGCCGAGACCAAAATACAGCATTTAAATACCACAGTGTTCTGCAGCCAAAGTGCTGTTCTGCGATTTTATTTCACTATTGGCATGTAAAATATGGGTAGGCCCATCTTACATTTCAGTGATAAAGCAAAAGGCTGATTCTCTGTTTATGCACAAAAGTTTTACAGCAATGTAAACTTCTTGTCCTCTAGCTAGATCTGTATTTGTGTCAAAACCATGATTTGTCGCAGAGTCTGTTGTTCTAGTATGGTAGAAGTTGCATAATAGTCTTCACCATTCATTGCTGTCGTGACTTTGCGGCCCACAGCCATAAGACCCCCCTGATTTCTTCTTTCCAAGTCACTATTTTAGCCACCCAAAGCAGCTGCTCTGTCCCCTTAAGTATTTTAGTTGCCTCCTTTGCACCTTGTCCGGTCCCACTGTGTCCTTCTTAAGGTGTGAAGATGAGAAATACAAAACCATTTGCAATATGGGAATATCCAGATTTTAAACAGCGGCAAAATGTTCTGTTCTCAGTACTTTCTTGATTATGTCTTACATTTTGTTGACATTTTGGCTCTCACCATGCATTGACCAATGATTCAGAACTGATCAGGATCACAACAAAATCTCCTGCCTGGTTTTAGTTGTCAGTTCTGAGTTCATCATGTGTAGGTTTAGGTTTAAATTATTTGACCCTAGATGCCCACATTCATCTGTTTTGAAATCCATATGGTATTCTGAGCTCACTTAGTTTTTTGAGGTTTTTGAGGCTTCTGAATTCCCTATTATCCATAAAACTAAGCAACACGTGGAAACTTAAAGATTTCTCTGCATCTTGCTGTCACAAGTCATTGAGGAAGATCAAGATGAAGATGTTAAGTAAGGAAGATGAAGATGTTAAAAAAAAAAGCTTCAATAACAGTCCAAGAGGCACCTCACTGCTGACTCATCTCCATCCCCAAAGTAGCCGTTAAGATTTTTCTTCCTCTTTGTTTAAGCAGATTTCAGACTATAAAATGACCTGACAACCTGTTTTCTTTAATATTTTTGGAGTGGAATCTTATCAAGGGCTGTTTTGAAAATCCACATAAGTTATGTCCACTGTGCTGTCTTAGAGCTCTAGAAAGTTAATGAGGCACAGAGTTAATGGGAATCTTTCCAGTGGCTTCAGTGCAAAGAGCAGAAGCAGATCAACTTATGTAAGAAACATCTCATCTGTGGACCTTGGCTATTTAAAGTATTACTGGCATTTAAAATATATTGCAAAAGAACCTTTGAAAGTAAAGAAATATAAAATAAGAAGTTGATTGTGTAGGTTCTTTCTCATTGAGAAATAAATGAGTGCCTGCAAGTTGTTCATTTGCTTTTTTTGTTGTTGCTGTTGTTACTTTGCAGATGGCGTTCATACTTTATTATATGGCAATTGTTGGCCATGCTTTGTCTATAACATCCCTGTTGATTTCGTTGGCAATTTTCTTCTATTTCAAGTAAGTGGTTTTCACAAATACTTTTTATTCCCTGAGGGATCTTAAGTGTTAACCAAAGAAAAACTTGGAAGAGGATGTGGCAGTGAAAAGCAGCTCTTCTGAGAACATTTTTATATAATCCTGGCAAAAATAGCATCATCAGAGTCACCTCACCAAAGGGACAGCTCTCAGTGGTGTATAGCAAAGGGCAAGCTGTTAAACTTGTCCAAATTAGCATAAAAGTGAGAAACTATGGGACTGGCGATTCAATAAACCTCCCGCTTTAGCAGTTGCAACAGAACACCACGTTTCTAACAAATTGAGATTTTTTTTTTCAGTATGTGAAAAGTTAATATATCTAAATCACACTAGCCACAGAGGATTTCTCAATAGTAGTCACAGTAAACACGTCTATATGTTAAATGACAGTGGGAGATTTCTATGGGGAAAATATTCAAGAATAACCACTTGGCAAAGCCCAGAGTCATTGTACACAGAGAGCTCTGAAGACTTGGATAAAGTATATATTTATTATAGCTCTTAGGTAGTCGTTTTTGTAGTGTTACACTTCCATTACACTTCTATAAACTGTAAACTTCCAGGACTGATAACACACTTCAGAAATTGTTGTTGTAATGCCCATTTACAGATATTCTGATGCAACGCAATAACAAAGGTAGGATTTTTTTTAATTTGGTAAAATGAGTCAGGTGGGGAGGTATTGTTGAATTCAGCAAAATACATCAGTTGTCTGCAGAGGGCCAGATACTTCATGAGCAGAGAGAGGTATGGAGACTGTAACCTAGCCTGCCTGTAAGAAGTTATTTCAAGTTAAGGTTGATGATTATGCCAGAACACGGATATGCCTGCCTGCAGATGGCAAACTATCATGTCATTTTTAATACACCTAGTCATGTGTAGTGTTTGGAAAACGATTTTAAAGCCGTCATGGAATTTGTTTAGAAAGACTTGTTCAAAAAGATTATGTGAATCTTACAACAAAAAATCAGTGAGCGGAGGAAGAGAAAGTGGTTATTCAGGGGAAAAAAATGGGCAATAGGTGATTTTAGAGGGTAAAAACAAAAGCAATTTCAAGCAAGGGAGGAAAGGGTCAGTTAAACAGAGACCAGCTCACTTGCGGTTGAAGTTATTTGAAACTTTTGCTTAGAGGACTAATAGCTTAAGAGAGCTAACAATTCATGTTTTTAGAAAGATACTCCAGGCAAATCAGCATTTTGTTTAACTTCTTTGGTGCTAAGCTAATTTACACTAGTTAAGATTTTGGCTTTGTCTCTTTAATGGACAAATTAATAGAATTACACAGATACATGAACAAAATTAGATCTGAATTTGCACATTCTTATTCAACTGTAACATGACTAAATTTGTTCAGGATACAAAACCAAATAATCCAAAGCACTGGATGGATTCAATTAATTAGTGTGGAGTAATTTTTTAAAAAAGTAATTAAAATTAAAAAGCAGATATAAAGAAAGCTGAGAAGGTTGAAAATAAAGTTCTCTGAGGACAGAAAAATGCATACTGCAAATGATACTTCAGGGGTGACAGACTTTTGAAGAAACCTTATTACAGGGCAGAATTTCTTCCCAATATGGAGCAAGTAAACTGTGCAGAAACCAGAGGGAGTGGTTTTATTATTTTTGTTTTCTAGGAAAACCCTAGCAGACCTTAATTTTCAGACACAGCCTGATCCTGTAAGAAGGTGCTGTGTGTTATTCCCCGTCACTACCTCTAATGCAGGCCAGGTTATTGCAGTCAGATACTGCAGCAGTACTAAGCAGCTGAAGGATCAAGCTTTGACGAACAAGGACCTCATACACAAGGGCAGTGAACTGCTGAATTGCATTCCCATCTACGTAGAAGGTAAAAAAAGCCTGAAAGCACAGGCAGAGAAGTGTTTCAAGAAATCTGGGAAGAGTAAAATTTAATCTGATTTGAAATCCTATACCCAGGATTCAGAGCTGCATGGGACAGGCGAGACAGGATCTGGTAAAGTGGCTATCCAGAATGATCCCTGCAGGTGACGGTGTCCTAATGAGACCTTGTAGATAGGCAGATGGGGACCAGGCTGTCTGACTCACTTGTCCGCCTGAGTCATGGGCAATTCACAACCGTGGCCATACCCAGGCAGTGCCAAAAGACTCATCTGTGCAACGGGCTTCTTGACAGGCACACACACCTCCTCTTCTTCCTCCCACCTCATTTCTCCTCTTCCTTCCATGACTAATCCCTGACACAAAGATTATAGGAAGAACTAGAGAAGGAATTACAATAAAGCAAAATGGGAGATTAAAGTGGAAACCAAACTAAGATTGTAAGAAAATGAGAATCAAGCTGTATGGGAGCAGGCTTGATGATACATTCAGATGTTTTCTATCATCTCCATATGACCATGGCTGATTATTTGACCTTCATTAGAAGGCTGTCAATCAGATGGTCAATCAGATAGCAACTTCAGGTTTCAGAGCTGTAAAACATAGCTTTTGACTGTAAAGGCAGCAGCTTACAGAGGCTGCTGTTTCACAGTGTGAGAGAAGACTCTTTCCACATACAACAAGTCTTTCCTGGCAGAAATTTATTTTATTTTGGGTTTTGGATATCAAGATTTGTAATGATCTGGTATTACAGATGTTGCAGTACTTTCAAAAGTGAATACTGAATCAGTAGTGATTGTATCAAACAATACTTACTCATAGCTGAATATTCATAAAGTGGAGTCTCTAGCAGTTACATATATCACATTATCATTGCAATATCTTTATAATTACAGTCTGAGACCCTATTATCTTATATGATAAAACACAAAAGAAAAAAGAGACTCCTGAACCAAATCATTTATAACTGAATTATTAAAACAAAGACATTTGGGTACACTAAAATATGATTGGATTTGCCAGGATGATAGATGGTGTTGTCAACACACTTCCTGCCCAATTGTTACCAAAGTTTTTAAAGGGTTTGAAGAAGGATAATGAAGATAGTTTCGTGGACATTTTGGGAAAGTTTTTCCTAGGGATAAAGAGGAGAAGCATGGTAGAAAGCATGAAAATAATTGCTTGAAAACTAAAAAGCTTGAAAGACAAGAAGATGAAAAATGACTGGGAATAGAAAACAGTATTCTGGGCATTCATGAATAAGAAGTGATGACAGATTCACAAAACAGATATATGAAGAAAATAATACCAAAAGTGCCCTGGAATTGAATATGTCATAGATGAAATAGAGAAATTAAATTAGAAACTCAAAAGGTAGGGTGAATCTTGGAAATATACAGGAGGAGTTGTGTCTTCCAGATGAAACATAGGAGATATTGAAAGTCTGAGACGTAGTACACAGTGTCATAGTGACAGAGAAAAAGCCACAAGGGCAATCTAGGCTTAAGATCTGGGTTACTGGCTTGATGATATCTCTTTGCATACTGATTTATAAAGCACAGAAGGGAGCGTACAGAAGGCAGGGCATGGGATGAGGAGGATCCTTCAAGAATGCAGGAGTGATTAGGGAGGCCAGAAGAGGCAAGAAGAGAGCCAAAAAACCTCAGACAAGAAAATCACAGCTCATTGTCAAAAGCAGAGGGACTGAATAGAGTAACGGGTTGGGTTTTGCCAGAAAGAGACTCCTGAGAGCAGTTTCATGTGGAGGGCAAGAACAAGAAGGGAGATGAGAAAGACTAGAACTGGGGAAGAAGGTTACTGGACAACAATTTCAGGCAATTTGTTGAATGAGCTAAGAGATGAATAGGAGAAAGAGCATGAAAGGAGGGAGGGAAGCTAGAGATAAACTAAGCCATAGATGAAGATGCAAAATTCAAAAAGATGAAGTAAGTTTCCATTATAAATGGAAATCTTGAGAAGAGAGATAGTTGTTAAAGAGTAGACTGAGGCACTGGAGGGGATAGGATGAGTTCTGCTCACTGATGTAAATGAGAAGTATAGACATGGCATATAGCATGTAGTCTATTCCATATATGGAATACCATATATGGATATACCATATGGAAACACACAGGAAAATAAATAAATAAAAGAGAAACAAACATAGAAGAGTGTAGCTGGTTGGATTAGCTTCCTCTTCTTCACAGAGGGTGCATTCTGCATTGACCTGCACACACACAAAGCAGAAAGTCACAGCAGCAGTCAATACCAGTCTGTAAAAGACTCCTAGTGTGTAGAGTGATGCTTTTGTCATGGAGGCAGAGATATCTGCCCTTCTCAGCTGCTCTTTTCCCTTTATTTGCCTGCTTGCTCCCCGTGATCACTGAAAGCGCTGAATGCAGACAGCCCAGCACTATCTCACAGCTCCAGGACTGCTTTTCTGCAGGCACCTCCTGGCAGCGCCGGGCCAAGCTCCTGGCACGGAGGGCTGCAGAGGTAGCTGAGCCAGTGGCATTAGGGTCCCAGTGTGAATTAGAAAGGGAAACAGTTCAGATTTGAAATTGCAGCCTTGATTTAACTGGACAGGAATTCTTTGAACTTGTCTTAGGAAAATCTGCTGCCCACAATAGCAGAATAATGAAAAAAAAAAAAGAAAGAAAGAAAACAGCCATTTAGAAAAGGTTGTGGAGGAAAACAATCTCTTCTGTTTTGGGATGTCAGCTGGACTCAAAAACATGCAAGATACCAATGCAAATCTCCCTGAAATTTAAGGGGATTCCATCCAAAATTTTCCATCCTGTATCACCACTAATTCCTCAAGTAGCAAATAATTTTCATCTGAATATTTGAGATATCAAGTCTCCAGGGCCCAGTTATTTATGAAGCAGTATTCCTGAGGTTCATTACTTGCATCATACACATCTGTAAAAATTCTCAGGGTTTTGCTTCACCGCTTAATATCTCGATTACCAGGAAATAAAGAAAGGCATCAAGGGCTGAGAATGTGACCGGATGGCTCTTTACAGCATGGTCTGAAAAGCATGCGGCACTGAACAGGTGTAAAAACAAAAACAAAGGAATTGTCAGGAGTTATGGCTGCAATGCAAAGCATGTGTTTTCCGACCATGCCTTGCCAAAGGCATTCTTGAGAGACTTCTGCCAGAATGTGCTTGTTAAAGTGACATCAGGATGAAAATACCGATTTACAACGTGTGCTAATATTTTTCAGGAGCCTGAGCTGTCAAAGGATAACGCTGCACAAGAATTTGTTTTTTTCTTATGTGCTGAACTCCATGTTTACCATTGCCCACCTCATTGCTGTGGTTCCTAATCCAGGCCTTGTAAAAAGGGATCCCGTAAGTACGACTTGACTCCTCTCTGTCTGTTCCACACAACTGGAATTACTGCTGCCGCTCCAGAAACAGCTATCCCTATTCATAAGTAAATGCTAGCCATCTGGTGAACCCTCCAGCGAGGCTGCAGGTTATGAGAACTTCACTCAACCCTGCTCACTAAGCAATAAAAAAAAATCTTTGACTATAGCACAGGAGGAAAAAGCCTCATACCTGCTGAAGCCTGCCAGTCCATAAGGACTTTTGTCAGGTTCCCATTGACCTCCTTAGTAGCTACCAGACATTTTCCAAAAAAGTCCTTATAGGAAGAGATCCTCTCACTGGTCCACTGTCCTTTTCCCAAGCAAGTACTTCCTGCAGAGGTGGGGATGGAGAGCATTCTGACTTCTCATTCCCAAATTCCTACAAAAAAAATCTATTCACTGCATTTTTTCTCCCAAAGGTGGTAAATCAACCAGTGTCTTGGTTCATTCCTACTAGCCTGTGATGCAAATTGTGCCAACCCATTAACTGATAAATATGTACTGTATCTCCAGATGTCAGTAACCCAAATGTGACCTGGCTCACTAATGAAGCATCATGCTGTGTTTTGACGTTGTTACAGCATCTCAGGCTGATATGAAATTAATGTAAGTTTAGAAACCTCTGCAGTTATATCACAGCCTTGATCAGCTTGCCTTCTAGTGGGATAATTTGCCTGTGCTTTAATCATTTATCTGCTTCTAACAAGCAGATAACAATTAAGCATTAGCACCTGATATTATCAGGTCACATGCATGTTTCTCAAACATACACTACCAGGTAAGTAAGCTAATTAAAGCTTATATATACAGCTTAATGTATATAGAAAACATCACCAGATAGAGATTAAAAATAGAAAAGAATAATTTTTAAAAATCACACATTTTTTCCTCCTTACTGCATATCACCCTATATACCTATCTCATGCAAAAGGTGTGATGAAAATAAATACACTTGATATTTGAAGATAAAAGGCTGGCACATGAATTCAAATAAGATCTTGCCTCAAGGCTAAGAATGGTACTTCCTGATAGCAGAAGTAAGTTGTCTGAACTGAAATGGTTTAAAGTAAATGTTCAGGTTACAGCCAGGACTCTTGTACTCCAAGGCTTCATTAAAAAAAAGCTATGTTGTAGTGTCTTTGAGCTAGATCCTCAGAGGAAAGAACAGGTGATATGCCAATATGTGCAAGGTCTCTAAATATTACTAGATTGAATACTTTGCTCTTTTAGTAATGTAATAAATTTGCAAATAGTTTGGAAAGAAAAAGGTTGGGAAAAGGAAATGAATTGCTAGGGGCAAGTCCTTAACACATTGTGATAATCTACATATGATTATAGGAAGAATTAAAGGATTTATGTTTAAATGTTATTTATTCTACAAGACAGATTCCCTTAGTATTTTCATATTAATGCCACTTAACAGAACAAAAGAAGGCTTTACAGTTTGCTTTTGTCTAACCCTGTTATAACTTTCATTCTGTTAAGTCTATTTGAAAATGACTACTACTGAGTTTTTGTAGCTTGCTGCATTTATCCACTTTCCTCCTGTGTGTCTTCAGAACTTGGCAGGTTCATGAATGAAGGTCTTCTAACTCAGAAATACACAGAAATACAGAAGTGGGTAGAAGGTATTTCAAACAGTCACAGATACCCTTTATTTAATGTTGACATAAAGACATGAAATTGGTAGTATTTATTCTGCACAATAATAAACACTCCAATAGCTCCTCCTTTTACCCTGCCTAAAGTTTCAGAACACAATTTAAATATGCAATACTAGGGGGAAAAATGCTTGCCATGTAAGCATACTTACGAGGATATCAATCAAGTCTGTATTATTTGGAAAGAAGAAAGAAATTTCTGTTATATAATGAACACTCGAGGAAAGAAAGGAAGAAGAGAGGAAATCTTTAAGACCAAGAACCCAGATTCTCTCCATATCAAGATACAAGAAGGTGAGATGATCCAAAGTGTGTTACATGAAGAGAGCAATCCTATCCTCACTCACGTATATTTTGCTGTCGTGATCATTCTACTCGTGGAATGGTAAGTTAGACCACCTTTTCCATATACTTTGTTTTTTTTTCTTGTTTGTTCCTGCTTTCTGGTTATAATTCTTCTCTCTCTCCCTCTCTGTTGGATTTATGTGGACCTGAAATGATGAAAGAGGAAGAAGCTGCAAGTCCAGGTGTCTGTACAGGAATCAAAGAAAGCAAAGAACCTAAACAAAACAGCCAGAGTCACTTAGCAAAAAGAAGCAGGAGCATATGAATGTACATATATATATGTATATTGAAAATGTTAAGTAAGTTAATTTTTCACATGTTGTATCCAAACTAATATTGTATCCAAATATACTATTACTGACACTGAAATTACAGGAAAGTGTATTTTCTATTGCATTCTTAAGTGAGACTGACTCTCAGAAGAAGGATGATCTGTGAACAACAATTATATTTTCAGTTAAAAAGCCTGGAAATATAAATAAAATTCTTGCCGCCTAATCTTTTAATATAGTCTTGCACATCACATTGGATTTGTATTTTTCCTTTTCTTTTTCCACAAACCTAGTAATTTTAATACTGAATACTGATGGAAGTAAAGGAAGATACAGATAATGACTGGAGGGATTCCTCTGCTAATGAGAAGCTGAATAATTGATTAGGTAGCCCAGAGCACCAGTATAAGTATGTTTGTAGACAGGACTAAGTTTGATCACACCAATAGAAAGTGAACACCAATAGAAGGTGAAAAGGAAAGCACAAAAAGAGATGTCCCTTGAAACTGCAATCTGTAAGAGCAAAGTCATGGTGGAAGTAGTATTAAAAAATTTAGTAATCTCCTGCACATTAGAGCACTATGAATAACTTCACAATTGATTAATTCAAGTTAAATCTATGAGTTTCATAAGAATATTAGGTTTTCCTCCCTATCACAGTAAAATAATGGAAATAAAAGATGAGTTTATGGGGTTGCAGTACTGTTGACTTCTCTATTCTCAGAACAATACATTGGGAACCAAATTCAAGAAAATCAAGAGGATTCATGGCATTTTGGAAGCCATTTTCATTTTAGGTCTTTAACCATATAAATGTGAATTTCCTTGCAATAGATTTTTGTGCTTGTTATTTTTAGTTCCTTCTGATGTAGCCTGTCAGAGCCTGGGGATTTTTTTAAATATATTTTTTCTTAAAAGGACCCATGACTGGTACCACTGAAGATAAATGCTGTCACCTGTAACTTGTGTTGCTTCAGTAGGCTCAGCCTTTCTAATGGTGCAACCTCCACCGAATCTATTGAAGAGGGAGCTCCACAAAGAAGGGCACTTTGATCCTAGGAGTTGTTTCTTGTATTGTGTTTGGGGGAAAATTTCAGGAGGCCCCATTCTTGTTAAATTAAAACAATTCTTTATTTGAGTATCTATTTCCAGAGCTTTTCAAATCCTTTCATCTTAGTACATTTGTTCCTCTATGCTCCTCGCAGGTAGCTTACTTGCAGGGATCTCTGCAGCCAGTTTAGACCCAGAGATGACTAAAAGCTATCCTGGAATACACTCCAGATCCAAAAGTACTCAGAGACAAAACTGCTGGCAGAGAACCAGTACCTAGTGGTCATATCTCATAAGTCTTCTGGCATATCTACTACACTAGGAAAGAGTACATGGTCTTGTGAAGCTGTGTTATCTTGCCTATTAGGGAGCCATTAATCTAATGAAGGCTCCAAATGGCTGATTAAACCACTGTTCTCCTGCTACCTGCACAGGAATGAAAGCACTTGGTGGAACTGGGCCCTATCTAGCTGGCTCAACAAGGCTGACTACTTCACCCAGTGAAAACTGTATGTGTTAGTTGCTTTTGCATAAGTCAAGAGGGCCAAAATTATTCTCCGTTAACATCCATTTCAAACATTACTGAAGTCAAAGGATTTCCAGCAGGTGTGCAGGTGTGTGTTTCTAACCTCTACGTTCTATGATAAAGCTAGCAGCTTTTGCTCAGCTCAAAGGTTAAACTAAGAGCAAAAGTGCATATGAATAGTTTTTTTTTTTTAAATCAACAACTACATGCTTCTATCCTAAACCAAATGAGCATCTTCTAACAACATATGAACCTAAACATAGAAAGGAGCTCCGAATGTGCTTTAAAAACAGATAGGAACAGACAGGAAACTGAGCCTCAAAGACAGAAACATACATACTAGGAACTATCCTCTCAGATCTGCTCCCTGAATTTAAGATGAACCTTCCCACTTCTATTCCATTCTGTGCAGGAGAGGAAGGAATTACCAGACCTGGATGTTTGTCTACCTCTGCGTTACTTCTCAGTGAAGGCATTTGCACAAGAGTGTCAGACAGTGGTCATCACTTTGCTAGTTCCCTGCTGCTTCCAAGAATTCCCATGGCTTCTCCCCAGATGCAGGGAGCTACAAATGGTCAAGCAGAGAATTTGTGTCTGGGCTGAGGAGCTTACAGGTGAATGTCTCACGTTCATGTGAAGCATGGCACTGCCATAGTCATACTACTTGCTGCTGTCTTTGATTCTTCACTTTACAGAGATGCTCTTTGCCTCTCTGATTCCCACAGTTTTAGTGGCACTCCCAACTAAAAGAATAGGATAGAAAAGCGTGACTGCCCTTGGAGCCAATCAGTTATCATTCCTCTTCTTAATAGAGGGAAGACTTATTGCAGAATAACTATTAGTCCTGTATTTGACTGGACGTGTTTTCATTGTATACTCTGAATGACTGAGTATGAAAGCATTACTTTCACAATTCCAGTTTTGTCCCATTCTAGCAGAGCTTAAAAGTGCTGTCATAGAGTCATATAATGCCTTTTGAGATATTGGTCTCCGGTTTCTTCTCCAGAGGGGCAAAGTTCTTCTACAGATACTCTGACACAGTTGTCAGCTCCTTATAGATGACTCAGCAACTCAGATGATCTCAAGTATTTGTTGTGGATTAGTGAACCATGCACTTTAATCCATC